TGACCCAACTGGACCAATCACACTGCTCTGTGCCATCGGTACCGCCACCTTGTTTTCAGTTCTTTCGCTAAATACTTAAAAAGTTCAGTACTGAAAAGTTCAGTGAACAAGTTTTACAGAGTCATTCACCCCGTGTAGGTGTCTTCATGAATTATAGCCTTAAACGTCTCCCTGATGGAATAGCTTGTTGCTGCTTAAGTCATATACGCTGCATTGATTCTAAATAACAAAACCCATACTATTGCTGTGAGCATTGGCTCAGTGCTGGCTGATGAAGACTCTGAATGCACTATTCGCCACAGAGGAAATCCCATATAAGCGTAGGAAAACCGCCCTTTTAAAAGATGTAAAACGATGATGGAGAGGAATTACCAACAAGTCCGATAATATCAATGATAAACGTCCCTAAAAGTAGGTCTAGAGAAATGGTACCAGTGAAATAGACTTATTTAAAGAGGTGTGAAAGCCAGAGTATTAAACTGACCTGGTGGCAAACTGCCACAGTTACTGTGGATGGCGCAGGTCCAAGTCTCTCACCAAATTCTACAGTTACTCAATGTTCCCTTTCAGATGCATACATGCCTACTTACTCACTGCATTATAGAGCAAAGACTTGGATCTTCTACTACAGTCAATAGTGTACGTCGACTGCATTCAAATAGTTTGAAAGAAAAAGTGAACAGCGAATAGTACCTTCAATATTAGCCCAGCGATTACGCAAAAACGTATCTCATAGCAGTGCATATATCATTAGCCAAACGTCTAAACTTTGGCTGTGGTACAAAAGTTTAAGTTGTTCACCCTTTTAGTTTTCCATGGTGTTAAAGATTCTACGCATGGCTGTAGAGAAATTTAGTTCGATTTCTCTAAAATCATTTCACTGTACGGACGTCATGGGTCTTCCCAGCGCATCTGTGTTCATACCAAGACTTTGGGTAAATCAGGCAAAGCAAAGGCAAGATGGATACATATTGAGTACTTAGAGGGTGAACCTACTTGACCTTGTACGCGTCCGATCATGTAAAATATGTCATTCTTTTCCGCTATCGCGCTGTTGCAGGGCTGAGAGCTTTCACCTGATATTAATGTGTGTGTCTTCGTGATGCACAAAGTCGATACTGGTGCAAATCTAATGGTCAAGACGACATCAATGTACGTCACTGTGATGTGTAATAATCCTTCTGTACGTAAGACTGGGAAGACAAACTTTACTGGACGTTTCCGTAGAATCCTAATAATGTGTGTGAAGTGATGCAAGAAACTTTGCTGGCTACCCACATACATTCACATCAGGCTAGGGCTGGAAATACCACCTGCATATGCAGGTTATGGTGCAGGTAAAAATGGGAGCTGTGCAGGTACTTCTGACGTTTACCTACAAATATACCGGGTTTTATACATACTTGTAGAAGTAGTGGCAGTGGTTTCTTTTAAAATTCTGAAGTTTTTAGTGCAATCCATACTTCGTAAATTCTGACTGGTGCAGGTAGAAGTTGTCTGGTGCAGGTACGTGCAGTGTTGGCATCCAGAACAAAGAATTTCCAGCCCTGATTCACATATATGAATCCCATATTGAATACGATTGGACGAGCGTGAAGGATTCACACACAAGATACCAACAGCACACACTAGCTTCAATAAAGGGATCAGGGTAAAGCCTGGCGGGTAGAAATAGCTCCATACATCAGACTCAAACCGGGCAGCTTATCGCTGACGATCAGCGGCTCGCGCTAGATCCCTCGCCGAGACGGGATACAAAGCCTAGAACATCAGTCATTTCCTGCGATATTAACACAAGGTTCACCTTGGTGCAGCTATGAGTGTATTCTGCAGCCTGTTCGGGAGTTGGAACACCACGGATGGTCGGACAAACTGTACAGGACACGCCATAACCGTTTCGTTCAGATCGTCGAATTCCAAACCACTTGTTTTTGATTGTCTCTGTCATGCTAATTCACCTGACCCCCATTGTAGATGAAACCTCGTTAAGTTTTTAATTAATTGGAGAAAACTGGTTGGTTGAAAAGATTTGAGCGTACGAAAGAACGATATCGCTATACAATCTGTATACTACTATTTGTGGTAATCATAACATCAATAATGATTAAAAAATCGAAAATTAACGCAGCATCATTCCGTGTTTCAAAACCTTTTTATTGACGTTTTTATTTTTTTATCGACAACCTGCATTTAGGAATTCTATGAGAGGAGTCACCATTCGGTGCGATGGCATCGATCATTCAGTGCGATGGCATCGACCATTCAGCATATGGCATCGACCATTTCAAATGGCAGCGGCCGTTTACAAGACAGAAACGCGCTTTGGCGATCGACTGTAGTTGAATCTGATATTCTAATGAACCGTTTGAGCCAAATATTTCATGATGGCAATGGATGAGCACTCAATCCGTCAGTCAGGTCCTATTTTTCAAAGGCTTCCATGAATAAAGTTGAATTACGGAATCCTTTCTACCATTAGCCTTGGGGGCATCTCTCTACTCGGAAATACATATTGCCGATTGACACTTCGTGACACAGGCTGGCTGAACTGACGCGCTGAGGTCCATTTGTACGCATTTGCCGCCCCCAGGAATAAACCACATCACGCATCACTCACAACTATAGAATCCCGCTTTACGTATGGATGCTGAGGTCACATTTCCAAACCGGGGCCCGGCCGGGCAGTCTTGTGGAACGAAAAGTGTGATATAAAAGACAACAAAACACAAAAAAAGTTGAAAAAAATTATTTGCGTATATTATTGATACAAATTATTGATTTTTCGTTAATTGAAACAGCCCGGCCGGGCCCCGGTCTGGAAATGTGACCTCAGCATTTACATACACAGATCCAGGAACATGCACCCCGAAAAAACTCAACTGAAGCTAATTAATGTGAAGTATTGGTTGATCTCTGAAGCCCCTGTCACACGAGGCCGACAGCGGGTAGCGATTCCCGACCTTCTCCAAACCAGTGTTGGGAGTCGGTCGTGAGCAATGTCATCTGAGGTTGCGAGTTGGTCGGTGAGGTTGCTTACTAGTCTTCAAAAGTCGTCTGGGTCAGCCGACTATATCAGTATATGTAGATATGACCTTTCAAAAACCAAAGTCGGGAAAGTGATTTTTCTTCTTGGATGCGGTCAAAGGAGCGAACTGGAACTAGAATAGGATGGATTCCAGATACTCCCAACACAAGGCCGACCTTGGTTGGGAAGTGGTCGGGAGTTAAGTCGTGGGAAGGTCCTGAATGTGTGACTTTATTTTTTGTAAGTCATTAAATGGTTATGGGTCGGGAGCAAAGTTGACTGGTACTCGTACTGGACTGGTTGGACTGCTCCCGAGCTCCAGCCAACCTTAGCTTGGTCGGCTGGTGTTCGGGGGAAGGTCCTGAATGCGTGATAGCCTCCCTGGCTCAGGTCATAAATACGAGTAAAGTGATTAGAAGTCAGTGGCCTTAGCTTCTGAGGTTAATAAGTATGTGTGGGTGTACATTGGCTAACCATTTGTATTACATGTAGGTGGAAGACTGAGCACCGTGGGCGAATGACGAACGGCCATTAACAAGACATTGACGCACGCGGCCATATATATACCTCAAGTTCCTAACTGACTATAAGTTTTCCATACATCAATTTAAAGAGGATTACCTTCGGCATGAATCATAAAGGGAATATCATACACACCCATTGTTACTTCTGCTAAAACATACACCAGCTGGCACTTATTCTACATTTTACCTTTATCAGTTTATATCACATTTGACATTAATCAATGGAATATTAGATATATGCCAGACGCTAAAATATTGATATCTAAACAAAGTATACGATCTTGTCATGTTATCATCATATTTTTTGTTTATCTTACAAGAAGTGCTTACAAATTCCATCTATTTCTAGTGAGCTAACGCATTTGATGTACTGCATACTAAAGCATTAAGAAGTACTTAAGTATACAACAACTGTAGCAAACTTATCTAAAATCTCGTTTAGGTATGAACTAGGTAAGTTTTGAGAGTCAAGCGCACGTACTTAGTCATTTCGCCTCCGTACTTAAGTCCTTTCGTCTCCGTTCTTAAGCCTTACGAGTATGTCTACCTCATCTTGCTCTTCCCCCGACGATAAGCAGACCTCCCCGAGGAAGAATTAAGTCTTTCTAAGCACGCGAAAGATGCGTAAAGTGACTTAAAGTGACTTGTGAACAGCTTTCAAAGAGTCTTTTTGATGGAGTAGGTGGTTAGTTAGCCCATTAAGGAACCTGGCGGCAATATTGTTACAATCATCAGCTTAGAGCTTATATGGATGGGTCTGCACCTGGAATTCACAAGTTCAGGTACTCGAGTCTTTAACGTCATCAGGAGTCCATTAAAGTTTTATAGCTCGTGATGGCCCGCCAAGTGCTTTCATGCAAAATAAATCTGTAAACAAGATATCGGAGATTTCAGACTTCCGGTGAGTATTTTGGGGTTTTCGTGATCCTTCAAGTTCACAGACCTCCTGGAAGTGATTTTAGGTTTTCGTGAATGTATAGGAACTGTAGAGTGGATCGTATGTTGTAATTTAATCGGGTATTACACAAATTCCCGAATTCTTCCACATACTCCCAATTGGCATGTTGGGTTACCTTCAGTTAAACTCCACATCAATCAACTGACAAAATCACCTCCCACCCACCATGCTAATGAAGCTATTAAGACAAGCAGTCACAAACCCACAAGTCGACGTCAGTCACCTTAAACAACAAGTTGGAGAAAAGCCAACAAAAGCATGTACAACTCTTCTCCTAGAGGGCCCCAGGAGAAACTTTTAACACAGATAGTCTAGTACTATTGGCATGAATTGGGGATAATATAAGTAAATTTCTCTCTAAATGTCACTCTGGGAACTAACTTCAATCTAGTTCTGGATGCAAATTAATTCTTACTAATCTTAATTTATTGTGTGGATTACTGTGGTACCGTAAAGGTTGCAAGACAGACACAAATAAGACAGAAAATAGAAATAAACTGAACAAAATTCTAATTCTTGTCTCAATAATAATCACTGTCAACAGTAAAACCTATCTTGTGGTTAAATATGTCTAACTTTACAGGTATAATACTGATCAATAAACAATCATTTTAGTCAGTGACTTTGTATATTGATATATGTACAGATTTATATAATTTCCAACTCTAAACCAATTAATAAAAGCCAGAACTACTACCGGTCAATGAAATCCTATTGGAGACTGGATTACGTTCAACCAGATTGGTTTCTCAAAAGGTCATTACCATTAAGTTCGTTATCTGCTTCTATGCTTTCTCTTAATTAGAACAGTAAAAAATAACTAAATATACTCGAAAGGCAACTAATTGGGAAACAAAATCAAAGACTCGAGTAAAATCAATGTGGTTCTCCCTGAGTAAAAGAGACCAAAGAAACTTATGTACAACCTCTTATGACTTCCAACAACAATTTCCTAAACTAGACTTGTCAATTTTGTACAAGTCAAAGATTAGTTTAGACATTACCATATTCATGTCCATAGCAATGATTCTATAAGCTCCATGATTCTAAATATTCAGGGGGTCATCCAAATCAAAAGTCAACGAGTGTCTGTCTATACTTGATTTGGATGTACTTGCAGTAGATTTAGAACGTTTGGCTTTTCTTTTCTTGCTGTTCTGCTTATAGAGTTCCCCATGGTCGTGCTTGCGCTGGTTGTGCCGGTCTAAGCAGCGCTTGTAAGCTGAGGAGAAGTCACACTGATCACAGGTGAAACGCTTTTCCTCTGGGTCATGTTGTCTTGTCATGTGCAGGGATAACAGGAACGGAGAAGTGGTGCCATACCCACACTGCTCACACTTGTAAGGTGCCTCAGCTCCGTGTCTGAGCTTGTGTTGGTCAAAAATGGCTTTCTGTGTGGTAGAAAAGGTACACTTATGACACTTAAAACATTTCTCTGTGTCATTATAATGTCCCCTCAAATGTTTCACAGCCTTGTGCTTGCGTTTGTTATGCCGGTCTAAGCAGCGCTTGTAAGCCGAGGAAAAGTCACACTGATCACAGGTGAAGCGTTTCTCCTCTGGGTCATGTTGTCTTGTCATATGAAGAGATAACAAGAAGGGAGAAGTGGTGCCATAACCACACTGCTCACACTTGTAAGGTGCCTCAGCTCCGTGTCTGAGCTTGTGTTTCTCAAAAATGGCCTTCTGTGTGGTAGAAAAGGTACACTTATGACACTTAAAACGTTTCTCTGTGTCATTATAATGTCCCCTCAAATGTTCTACTAACACATGCCTAGTATTCGTGCCATACCCGCACAGGTCACACTTGTATGCTGCCTCAAGTTTGTGCTTGGGCATGTGGTTGTCCAACTCACTTTTATCTACAGTGGAAAAGTTACACTGGTCACACTTGTAGCGTGCCTTGACACCTACGTGTCTGAGTACATGTTTGTCCAAATTACATTTCTGTTTGGTAGAAAAGTCACAGAGATCACACTTGAAAGGTTTCCCGCTTGCATGTGTCTTCATATGTTCTTTCAACCAATCCTGAACATCAGTCTCATAGTCACACTGCTCACACTTGTAGGTTTCTTCACTACTGTCACACATGTAGGTTTCCTCAGTACTGTCACACATGTAGGTTTCCTCAGTACTGTGGGACTTGTGGTTTAGCATGTGCTGGCCCAAGTCACCTTTCTGTACTGTAGAGAACCCACACTGGTCACACCAGTAAATTTTCACCCCCATATGTTTCATGAGATGTTGCGAGAAGGAGTCCTTTGAAGTTGTCCCGTACCCGCATGCATCACACATGTAACTTTTCTTACCATGCCGGGATGTGTGCTGCTTGAACAAGTGAGTGTTAGATGTAGAGTAGTCACACTCATCGCAACTGAGGGTTCTTTTGTCCCGTTTCCTTTCAGGTGGTGAAAGTTCTTGGCTAGCAACACGTTTCTTAGCAGTGTGTTTAGGCATGTGTTGGTCTAAATCCTCTTGCTGTGCTGCAGAATCCTCAGAATGGGAAGGTTGTTCACTTGCGTGTGTCTTCCTATGTCGTGAGAAGTCAGATCTAGAAGCAGTCTCAAACCCACACTCTGCACACTTGTAGGGTGCCACACCAGTGTGCTTGAACATGTGTTGGTCTAAATGGTCTTTCCACCCGGTGGAAAAGTCACACTCATCACACCTGAAGGCTGCGTTCTCGTGTCCCCTCACATGTTTTGAGAGGTCAGAGCTGTCAGCGGTTGTGTACTCACACTCCTCACACATGTAGGACATCTCACCAGCGTGTTTGTGCATGTGATGAACTAAGTTGCATTTCCTTGTGCAGGAGAAGTCACACCGATCACAGCTGAAAGGTTTTTCCACATCAGTGTGTTCTGTGAAAGTAGGTACGTAAGTAAGTTCTCTAAACTTACCACCCGTCTGCTCTGAATGTTCCTTTAAATGTTGTATCATCAGATCTCTAGTTGTTGCGTAGCCACACTCCTCACACTCAAAGAGAATCTCATGAGTTTTCAAATGTGTAGTGAGATGGGACCTCTTCCTTGTCCAATACCCGCAATGCTCACACACGTAGTCACCATGTTTTTTCTTGTCCTGCTGTCTTTCTGTGTCGGTTGTCTGCTGCTCTGTAGTTTCTAGTTCTGACTCATTCTCAGGACATTCTGGAGGTGGTTCTTCAACATTAGGCAGCTGTTCTGCAGATGTCTGTACATGTATGTGTGGTGAGGCAGTGTCGTCAGAGTTGTCACTGAATGCAGTTTCTTCTTCATTTTCCTGGTGTTTTTCCATGTCAGATTGGTCCAAATTGACAGAGAATGAAGTATTTTCCTCATTTTCCATGTCAGAATGGTCTGAGTTGGAACAGAATGAAGTTTCTTCTTCGTTTTCCTGATATTTGTCCGCGTCTGATTGGTCAAAATTAACAGAGGATGAAGTTTCTTCTTCATTTTCCTGCATTTCCGTGTCAGAGTGGTCTGAGTTGGAACAGAATGAAGTTTCCTCTTCGTTTTCCTGATGTTTTTCCTTGTCAATCTGGCCAGAATTGACACTGAATGAAGTGATCAGTGATTCCTGGTCTTTTTCAATGTCAGAGTGGACAATGAATGTTTCTTCTTCCTTTTCCTGTTGTTTTTCCATGTTTGTTGTCTGGATTGTGTGTTTTGTTGATAGATGTTTAGTGAAGTGAGATCTATTAGTTGTTCTGTAGCCACACTCCTCACACACAAGCGGTTTCTCACCAGTGTGTTCAAGTATGTGTAGGTTTCTCTTGCATCTATATGGTGTGGAGAAGTCACACTGATCACACTTAAAAGGTTTGATGTCAGTTTTCAAATGTTGAGTGAGATTGGACCTCATCTTTGTCCAGTACCCACAATGTTTACAAACATAATCAACATGTTTTTCCTTGTCAGAGTTGACAATGAATGAAGTTTCTCCTTCCTTTTCTTGTTGTTTTTCCATGTTTGTTGTCTGGATTGTGTGTTTTGTTGATAGATGTTTATGGAAGTGAGACCCACTAGTTGTTCTGTAGCCACACTCCTCACACACATATGCCTTCATACCAGTGTGTTCAAGTATGTGTAGGTTTCTCTTGCATTTATAGGGTGTGGAGAAGTCACACTGATCACACTTAAAAAGTTGGATACCAGTTTTTAAATGTCTAGTGAGATGGTCCTTCTTCTCTGTCCAGTACCCACAATGTTCACACACAAAATGAACAGGTTCGTCCTTGTCCTGCTGTCTTTCTGTGTTGGTTGTCTGCTGCTCTGTAGTTTCTAGTTCTGATTCATTCTCAGGATATTCTGGAGGTGGTTCTTCAACATTAGGCATCTGTTCTGTAGATGTCTGTACATGTTTGTTTGGTGAGACACTGTTGTCAGGGTTGTCACAGAATGAAGTTTCTTCTTCATTTTCCTGCTCTTCATTTTCCTGCTCTTTTTCTATGTCAGGGTGGTCAAAGTTGGCACTGAATGAAGTTTCTTCTTCATTTTCCTGTTTTTCCATGTCAGGGTGGTCAAAGTTGACACTGTATGCAGTTTCTTCTTCCTTGTCCTGCTCTTTTTCCTTGTCAAACTGGTCAAAGTTGACACTGAATGAAGTTTCTTCTGGATTTTCGTACTGTTTTTCCTTGTCGGACTCAGAGTGGTCAAAATTGACACTGAATAAAGTTTCTTCATTTTCCTGTTTTTCCATGTCAACCTGGTCTGAGTTGACACTGAATGAAGTTTCTTCTCCATTTTCCTGTTTTTCCATGTCAATTTGGTCTGAGTTGGCACTGAATGAATTTTCTTCTTCATTTTCCTGTTTTTCCATGTCAGGGTGGTCTGAGTTGACACTGAATGAATTTTCTTCTTCATTTTCCTGTTTTTCCATGTCAGGGTGGTCTGAGTTGGCACTGAATGAAGTTTCTTCTTCATTTTCTTCCTGTTTTTCCATGTCAGAATGGCCTGAGTTGACAATGTATGCAGTTTCCTCTTCCTTTTCCTGCTCTTTTTCCACATCAGATTGGTCTGAGTTGACATTGACTGAAGTTTTGTCTACATTTGCCTGTTTTTCCATGTCAGAATGGTCAAAGTTGACACTGGAAGTTTCTCCTACATCTTCCTGCTGTGTTTCTGTGTCTGATGTCCGGATTGTGTATTTTTTTGATACATGTCGATTGAACTGATACTCACTAGCTGTTCTGTAGCCACATTTATCACATACAAACGGTTTCTCACCAGTGTGTTCAAGTATGTGTAGGTTTCTCTTGCATCTATATGGTGTGGAGAAGTCACACTCGTCACACTTAAAAGGTTTGGTACCAGTTTTCAAATGTTTAGTTAGATGGCGCTTCTCCTGTGTCCAGTACCCGCAATGCTTGCACACAAAATCTCCATCTTTTTGCTTGTCAGATTGGTCAGAGTTGAAACTGCATGCAGTTTTTTTCTCCTTTTCCTGAGTTGTATGTGTGTGTTTTATTGTCAAATGTTGATCAAAGTGCCACCAGGTAGATGCTCTGTAGCCGCAGTCCTCACATACAAATGCTTTGTCACCAGTGTGTTGGAGCACATGTAGGTTTCTCTTGCATCGATATGGTGTGGAAAAGTCACACTGATCACACTCAAAAAGTTTCTTCTCAGTTTCCAAGTGTCTAGTGAGGTTGGACCTCTTCTTTGTCCAGTACCCGCAATGCTCACACACAAAATCACCAGGTTTTTCCTTGTCAGATTGATCAGAATCAAGACTGCATGAAGTTTCTGTCTCCCTCTCCTGTTGTGTTTCCATGTCTGTCGTCTGAGTTCTGTGTTTTTTTGATACATGTACATGTTGACCAAAGTGCCACCAAGTAGTTGTTCTGTAGCCACACTCCTCACATACAAATGGTTTCTCACCAGTGTGTTCAAGTAAGTGTAACTTTTCCTTGCATTTGTAGGGTGTGGAGAAGTCACACTGATCACACTTAAAAGGTTGGCTTCCAGTTTTCAAATGTCTAGTGAGATCAGTCCTTCTCTTTGTCCAGTACCCACAATGCTCACATACGTAGTCACCACATTTTTCCTTTCCCTGCTGTCTTTCTGTGTCTGTTGTCTGCTGCTCTGTAGTTTCTGACTCATTCTCAGGATATTCGGGGAGAAGTTCTTCAACATGAGACCCACTGCTTGACTTGTCCATTTTGACAATCTATAGTCAACATGAAAACAAGAAATCGGTTAGATGCATATTAACAATTTTTAACCTATTTTACAAACTATTTTTAACCTAATTTACAATCTATAAAAACCTATAAAAACACAATACAGGCCATCTCCAACACAAATGGACCATTCTCAAAGGCTGATAAATTACCTATACCTTTATCAAACAATACTCATAAATGTAGGTTATCAGGAAATGCTCAGCTACTAGTACATGACAACCCTAACAAACCCCCTCCCCCCACTGTCCACATCTGATTGATTCCGCGGGTGTTACGCCCAACTTCTTGGAATTTGGGCCACACAACGCAGTATTCATCCGCCACAGATAGGAAAAAAAGTAGTGCAACCAAAAAACATTTCGAAAGCATTTATTCTCTAGTGACCAACTTTTAGAGGAAAATATGGTACTCGCTTGGTTATCTGTCTATCCAACGTTTTAATCGTTTCGCTAGTTTGTTTGAAATATCTTTGCACCAGACGCGTGAGAGTGCAAAGAGGCTTTTGACTTCCACTGGACGCTGGACGTCCATAGAACGAAAAAATCTAGTCACGTCCTAGTTTCCCGATATTTAGTACCCCCTACCGTTATATTAACCTACCCATAAGATCTCTTTCGCTAGTACACGTAGATAAATTTATCTAGACGTCTAAGTCGGTCAGTTTGAACATGTGCCAACTTTACGGCCCTTACCGTTACTTCGAAAGACGCCCTGCGTTTTCTCTTCAAAAATCGTCTCTAATTCCAATTTACAGTCACATAAGCAACAACCAGGCAGGTCAATAATAAATAAACATCTTACCTGTTGCTTTATGCAGAAATAGCTCTTGGAATAGCTTAGAAATCAAGTTAGATGACAGAAGTTTCCACAGATTACTCGATCATTCTCGGGACACTGATCAAAATGGTGGTAGGTCAAAGGTCACACGCCTGATTACCCACTTGTGTTCGCTGTCAAACCGCATGTCACAAGATGATTCCCTTGATACCATTTGAAATGTCAAAATGTCAACGTTTACGTGTTTCGTTATCCACTTGTGATCCCTGTTAGACCTAAGGGCAACAAACGATTCTCCTGACACCAATTATAATGGCAGAAGGTCAAACTTTACACTCGTCATTATCCACTGAAGTTGAGCCTGAATGACACTAAGTGATTCTATAAGACATGTTTCAATGTGATTTAAAATGACCTATGTCCTTAAAAGTTTTAAAGAAACATAGCTCACATTGTCCTCAAGCTCAGGGGCAGTAATACGATGAGAAAATACGTATTATAACTTGATCTCCACTGCTAAGCTTAGTCCGTATGTTTCATAGTTAGGATTTAACAAATTTCCTCCCATAAACTGTAGCTTAGACTCAGAGAGATCGTGTCTGAGCCCGCTTCTACACTGTGCACTGTGTCTTCCGCGATACTTCAGGCGAATGCTGCAGAATACTATACCAAAACTTGCCTACATCCGACTGAGCTTTGAGCATAAATACAAGACTTGAAAGGCAACACTTCCTCATATTTCAAGTTCTTTAATAAGGTACAAGATTCAATTATAGATTACATTAAAGCATATGCATATGATCGTTGAGAATTCAATCAGGGGCAACGGTTAACCTTTTGTTGAAAATATGATTGAAGACTGGAATGTGAAAAGATTGGGCTTGCTATCTTCTTGTGAAAGTTCTCTTAGCCATGCATGTGCTTCCAAGAAAATACGTGTACTTAATGTCAAGTACAATCCCCCTGGCTAGCCATACAAAAACTTTGGGAAGCACGGGCCGTTTTAAATCTATCGTGAGGCCCATGCCGCGTGTACTGCTACTTTGCCAAGAGCATTTTCACTTAAAGTCTACTTTCCAGTCTCTGGTGATCTATGTATCTCGAAGGCGAAGGACTAAAGAAGGCATCTTTACTGGCAACGGTAACACCGTTTCATAAAATCATTTCAGTCAAAATGAAAATATAATCCAATAACTGGTGGTCCATGTGGCTATAGTTGGCAAGGAAGCCAAGAAGTGACTGGAAAACTTTATTTCCAAACATGTGGGGATGGTGTGTTTGATTTGTGTATTACATGATCTTACATGGTCGTTCTGTTTTACAGGGCTGTACTGTAACAGCTCCTTTGATAACATCTACTGCTGGCCCAACACACCTGCAGGATATACTGTGTATATGCCATGTCCCAAGGGATACGACAACACCAGTGAGTTATATATACATATTTTTTTCCATTTATTCTACACTGACGAATATTTTCCACGTAAAGATACAGAAAATATCAAAACTATTTGCTTTTGATCTTTTTGCTGACTGACTACAGATTTGTATGCTAGACGTGGTATGATACACGTCCTCTAGAGAACAGGCCTAGGCCAGGGAAGAAATAAAGTGTTAACGTTATGAGTATGAAAAAAATATCCGCCTGGCCGGATCGATGATTCCATGCGTTTCCCATATTTTCACGCTACATATACATGTTCAGTGCAGCATCCTTTGGGACGGCGATTCTTATCGTTTCAAAGGAAAGCTCATAACGGAAACATTATTGCGACATATGAAGGGCGTAAAGCAATTTGTGACAACCATAGACTGCCGGAGAAAGATTGGTTTTCCTTTAAGAGACTTGACTTCGGACTCAGTGCTGAATGTCATGATAGGTCAGTGTTCACACGGAATCATGTTCCCAATCCCTTTGAACTATTAAAGCTAAATAAATTCCGTGTCTTTCAGAAATCCTGGCTTACCGGATTTGTACGGAGACGGGAGAGTGGCTGAAGGGAAACTGGTCCAACTACACTCTGTGCGTGCCGCATAAGATCAGACGTGTGCCGCCGGTAAGGATGGAGCCCATCTCACATGTCCGTACTTTCAATCGCACGTCACTCGGAAAACAAAAGCCGGAAGAAAACAAAGATTTTGTTATCTTAAGCTATAAGTTGTTGTGAATTTCTTGTTTCATTTCTTATCACGACTCACCTTTCTCGCCGATTCTGTGCATAGTCCATAGTCACTTCATCTCAATCCGGCAAGGGAGACCATTTTGACCTTCCTGTCAATCTGCCGTCACACAATTTCGTCCCCCACTCCCTGTGATTCTACTGTATTCAAACAACCACAAGCAAACAAACAAACACATCGTTAACAAAACCTCCATACACAGAGGTAATTAGTACATGTAATGGTGATTCTGTTATTCCCATTGGCATTAGTTTTTCACCAGTTTCGAAATGCCGCACCTAGTTACTGGTCTGAAACATAGTTTGTGGTGTAGGAATGGGGCAGGCTATCGAGCGACTTGGACCGAGGACCGTAGTTGCCTACAAGAAAAGCTTGACAATCACGCAGATAGACAGCAATAACTTTCACCGTATCATCTTAGATTTCGTAAATGACTGAACGATTGCGTAAGGCTGTTAAAATCGGTCCGTCCTAACATGGGAATCCTGTTAGTGCGGTGTGTAGAATATCAAGACAGATTACTTCCAAAACGCTCTACAATTCTGCGGCAAAAATGATTCTCGTACTTTCTAGACTACCAATTTTACCCACGCACAACAAATGTATCGAGATGAACTTGCTACAGTGTTGCACCGCATGATTGGCTCATTACCTCGCACAAATCCCGGAGGTCAGCCGCGGGGTCGACGAAAATGAAGTGCAGAATGAAAGTAAGATAAATGTACCTTCCCAACGGACGACTTTAATGAGCGCGCGACCAATTTATACGCATTTCTTGGAGGATGGCCAGATCTGCTTTCCCAGAAACTTGTTACTGAGACTTTGAATTCGTCCTGGAAAATGCCGTGATTTTTTCCCGTAACGTATACGTACTTTTGTAAATTCTTCACGCGAAGGGCGTTACACCAATGACAATGTAATGGTGCACTGTTATGTATAAAAACATCTGTGATCTCCTTTTAAACATTTGATGTTAATTTCTTCTTATGTGACAATCTGACTTTATGGACAATCTGTATGGGTAAAATACTATAGCTATACCCGGTGAAATCAAAGTCGAAGGACCTTGCCTAAAATGTACTTCCCTTAAGTAGTGTTTTACCGATATCTGTCATAAGCGCTAATCACTGACATCTAGTCATAGACAAAAATCGACGTTAGGCCATTAGACATACTTCTTTATGTGTTTTCACAGCCGGATCTGTCCATGCTACTAGCGGTGAGAGATATCTACTTCGCGGGCTCGGCGTTATCTCTGCTGATGCTGTGTATATCCATGTTCATCTTCTGCTATTTCAGGTAGGTTTCTTCTTCTTACGCATTTTGAAAAGGGTATACATAACACATGTGTAGGGGGTCTAGTGGATAGGGTTGCAACGTTATATGTGTGTCATCTAGATCTAATTCAAGTTTTTAAAATTGAAGAAGAATATAGAGTATATGGAAAATCCGTGGGTAAAATTCTACAGCGCTAGCTATACATCAGAATCAAAGAACCTTGCCTGACAGGGCTGTTGAATATGTCGCTGATGTTCCAGGAGACTACACTGTGACCGCATCAGAATCCACAAGCAGCTGTTGTTGTCCCTGATCTTCCGGTCCATCATCCTCATCATACTGATGCAGCCTGGGGACGACTCTGGGCCTTCTTACATGAACGAGGTTAGTGGTGTTTGTGTGTGTGTGTGTCTGTCTGTGTGTATGTGTGTGTGTGTGTGTGTGCGTGTGTGTGTGTGTGTGTGTGTGTGTGTGTGTGTGTGTGTGTGTGTGTGTCTCTCTCTGTGTATGTGTGTGTGTGTCTCAAGATCTCCTGCTAGTAACCTTAACCGGCCGGAAAGTGTCGGCGGAAAGTTTCAGTGACAGGCCAAAGTTACTCCCAAAGGAACTCCATTCAAATTTATGTTATTTGATGAGCCTGGATTCCAACTTCCGGCAGATATCATTTTGATCTTTGTAGAATGTTGTTAAACGACCATTGACGCATTCATTACAGTCAAAAAAGGTGAAATGTTCTGTTTCGTACATGCCATGAAATGAAATATACATCTCTGAAAGAATGTCAACCAAAATAAAGGTAAGCAATATATAAATGTCAGCCCGCCATGCCGGAAATCTGTTAAAGGGCACACTGCCAACAAAACTGCAGACGAGAAAAAGAACTGACAACTGAAATTAAAAGTTGAAAAATTATTCCTCCTCTGAGGGCATAGAAGTAAGATACACTGTAAAGATATGACCGAAAGCCTCGGATTTTGACATCAAATTTTATCATTTCGTCTATGAAACGATTTTGTCATAAACATTATGGATTTCTTTTATAGATGGAAGCTACAAAAGCATCAACGTTAACGTGAAATCGTCCTATAAATTTTGTCTTGTCAAACAGGTCCAAGTAAAGTAGAACATTTGGTTTTTCGTGAATGTAGTAGAATTGGGGAGGAGATAGTATGACGTAATTTAATCGGGTATTACACACAGTCAACCGCGTCCTGAATTCCTCCACGTACCACCCACTTACTTCCGGTGCATGCTGTACATGTATTATCATTATTCAAGCAACCAAACACTCAATGCAACAACCTCTGCTGACTGAACAAGCATACGCACAAACCCACAGATAAATCCACCCAAAACAATACTTCCATATCAGAAAGTAATGGCAATACTATACTGAATCTATCTACCAGCCTGTAGTGTGCCGGAGCCTGGTGGTTCTGTCCCAGTACTTCAGCATGTCTAACATCTTCTGGATGCTGGTGGAGGGCCTGTTCCTGTACATGCGCTGTGTGGTGGCAGTCTTCCACTACCTCTCAAGTCTCGCAGTCTTCTACGTCATCGGCTGGGGTAAGGAGCGGGCAAAGTGCACGTGTTTGCATGCATCCTATGTGGACTATGGGCGAAAAGACTAGTAATAACTGTGAGAAGGGTTGGAAATTCACGAGGTATGATAGGTAAAGGAAAGAAAGAAGGTATGAATCAATACATACATGCATGCACGAATGAATAAACGTACAAATGAAAAAAAACATTGCCATACACTTAGAAGAAACTAACTTAAGCCTCAATGTTCGCTCTTAATGATAGCCCCATGCTAGTTCGTTGGGCAGCATTGGCTGTATCTTCAGCCGAAACGAGTAAATAAAAAACAATAAATAAACAAACAAATAACCTGTGTCTCCTAATGCTTATGATCAGTCCATGAACAACATATATACACCAAGTTACGATCGAACAGACTCAAACTTAACCCATTGTTTCCAGGTGCCCCGGCGCTGTTCGTTGCAGCGTGGACAGTGGTGATGTACCTGTTCGACACAGAGCGGTGCTGGATGGACTACACCAGGTTATCCTACGCCTGGATCGTGTCAGGGCCGATCGTTGTCGTTCTTGTGGTGAGCAAAGTAGTTGTCTCATTTTTCTGTTGAGTGTTTGAAAACATGACTTCACTGGGGACAAATCTAGATAGCCACTGATGCCATGTTCGTTGAGGGCATAGACCCAACATGGCGGACGATAGCACGTCAGCAGAACGCACTGCACCTGCACGAAAATATGCATTGTAATGTAGTGTGCATAGCACTTAGGCAGAACGTCTTATATATAAAGGTCATATTTGCGCATATAAAGTTAACATCCCGTCTGTAGTTTTCAAATGTTGTGTCGGAAAAGGTATCGTCTACAACAGGCAAAATTCTAATGCAACATTGACCAAACAAACAGCCAACGAAAATCGTGAAAAATCAGGGTTTCACACAGGTGCAGTACATTCTGCCGATGTGCTGTGTAGACCCAATTTACTACAACAAAGAATGAATATCTGTCCGTCCCTTACAGGTGAACCTCTACTTCCTACTGCATATCCTCGTGGTCCTAATCACCAAGATGAAAGCGGACCAACAGTCCACACAGTTCGCCGAGCCATGGTACGATCTCTCGGTCGGCCTCAGGTTGACTGTCCCGCCGCCGGCGTCGGCCCCCAAACCCTTCCCCAGGACGGTCGGGGAGTTAACCAGAATAAGGTCGACGTCATGTCAACGTTTTCATGACGTCAGTTTGTAGATGTCTGAAATCCATTCGCCATCAATCTCCAAGCAGATGTTAGGATGGAAAGCTGTAACGTTTTTCTCTGGCCGTTCCGTCACGTAGATCTATTGGGATAGCCAAAAAACGTTTCTTTCCAAACATCTACTTGGAGATCACCATTACACGTGAACTCCTAATCCTACACAGAACGCTTCCAGTTTGTTAAAGGCTCCACAATTCGATGTATGCACCCAAAACTAGTGAAATCTCCAACCTCAACTTGTGGCAATCCTTTGGATTGCATTTGTCACGCATTTCACCATGATGCCATGTACATGTACTCACTCATGCTGTTTGTAAAGCTCTATGAAGCATATTCTTAAATCACACTGACATGTACAGCCTTTGCAAGTATGGTATTTGACATCTGCAAGCAGTAACATAATGCACACTTAGGGTATACATTTTTCCCTTATGGTATATTTCCTTCATACCCAACGAGTATTTTTCCAGCAATGCCTGGTTCTTTGTTCACAGGAAAGCCCTGAAGGCGATGTTCATCCTCCTGCCGCTGCTGGGACTCACCAATCTGCTGTTCTTTGTGGATCCACAAGACGGCGGTCTGGGCGAGGACATCTATCAGGTCTTTAACGCTGTCATGCAGGCGACACAGGTAGATATATCTGCCAAACCAAGTGCGTCCCTCTGGTCTAGCTTTGTCAAATCGCGCCCTCTAGCGGCCCTCCAATTGATAGGCACTCTGGACCTCGTCCCGAGCTAAACATTCTGTCATTATCAAAAGCATTTCCGTACGATCAGCGTCCACAAGCCAGCGCATTCGTTACTGTCTTCGGTGGGATGTATCAAAAGCGACCCCTACTTATTACTGGTACTGCAACTGTATTGTGTCACCTTTATCATGTAGTACATCCAACGAGCTCTATTGAAAGCTCCTTGGTACATCTAATGTTGACGAAAGCTTGAAGCTATAAGCAAAAGCCAGGACGCCGAATCCACATGAATACGTCAAGTATGGGGACTCCAAGTGACCAAAATATCACTGCATGTCTATGGTAAAGCAGATGCGTGCAGTACCAACAGCGATAAATAGGGGTCGCTTTTGATACATGCAACCAAGTAGTAAGTTACAATGTATGTCATACAGTTGTAGGAGTCAAACCATCTCATTTCTTGTTTGTCTTGCAGGGGATGTTTGTATCTATGATCTACTGCTTCACAAATGCCGAGGTAAGTACATAGTGATAATTCTGAAGAGGACCCCTTGTTGAGTAGCTATACCCTACAAGTCTACTTGTACTGTTATGAAGAACATACAGATGTAATGTTAGTATTGACTATTGACGTTATCAATTTTTACCTGTACAGGTTCAGAATGTCATCCGTGACAAGCTAGGACACCGTAACCACCAGCCCAAATTTGACATGCAGGGTCCAGCCCAGCGGAGAGGTCTGCTCGCGTCCACCACAGCTTCTACTACAGTCACTCAGTCTCATGCAGAGACCCGGCTGTGATGGTGCCATAGTGACTGGGGCAGGGGGGCAATCTATCATTCCCAAACATGCAAATGAGGACATGACTTTGCATATGAATCTGGATGTGCATGGGAATCTTCCCATGTATGCTAATGTCTTTTGGACACTGGAGTTAGCGGGGCTAACACTGGACTTAGCGGGAGATTCAAACTGAGCCCCGCTCTGGACCCATCGTGCCAAGAGGTCAAACACCTGTGCTGTAGCATGCCATTGTATTCGCAGTCAATGTCAACTTTCAAGAACTGTAGATTACAATCGTTCAGTAAACAGAACAACATGTACACCCATGTCAACCCTTTGTGATACTTCATTGTCGAGTGTGGCCATGTGATAGCAGATCTGATATTCTTTGTGTCTGTTGTGGTTCAAAGTTGTGCTTGATGTGATGTGTATGTGCACTGCAAATGATGTTAAAATTATACAGATCCCCACAGTGTACAGATCCCCCCAGTTACAGAATGGGAGAAACATTTCTAACATATTCAATAATCTACATACCTAGGCATCAATGTCTGGACTGATTTAGGGATGGACTTTGAATAATGTAAATATGAGATCCCCAAAACTGGCAATATATCTTTTCAAGGAATACCAAATTAAACAAGGAGTATGTCTGTATATTTTTCTGACTAGCTTTCTAGAAAATTTTGCCAGGATACCTTTAAATATATTCAGTTACCTAACATTCAATAACGTTGACAGCCAGATGGTTATATGTACTACATGTACATGACTGTATGTAAATAAAATGTCTTGCATATCATTGTACATCTTGATGTCATCTTTTGTTGTACAATTTCTAAGGACCACCTAAAATGAAAACACAGGAAATTTTAGACCCCAAGGAAGTGATTTAGATTTTTGTTAATGTACTGGAACAGTGGAGTGAACTGTGATGTAATTTTAACAGGTATTACAGTCAACCACAAACAAGAAAATACACCCAGAAAACCACCTAGACACTTAAGAAAAAAGCAGTAAGCATCTTAGCAAATCTATATGTGACAACAGTATCATCTTTAATTGCATATGGTTTATAGCTAATAAGATACTTAATCATATGGAAAAACATTCTGTAACAAAATTTTGACACAAAGACAACTTCTGGTCATGGCTGCTTCATTTTAATTATTGAATGCATCGAAACATGCAACTTCATTGAAGTGAACAGTGTAGGTTTCACTCCATGTATACAGGAAGGCTATTTACAACATTATTTCCAAGAGAGGAACAACTATCCCTTTGTTCACAAGTCTTTTCCCTACTGTTACATTGTACTATTTGTCGTTTTTCCCCCCAATCTGAGCCCACTGACTGCATTTTCCTTGAATTGTTAGATGACTCACTTGTCAAGTTCATGTAACGACTTTGCTTTCCCAAAGACAATTTGTTACTTCAGAATTATTGTAGATTTACTTATGACTTTTGAATTTCCACAGAACACTCTTTACCTCAGTAAGCAATAATCATTAATGGAATTATCATAAATTCATAGACAGAGGACGTATACATTCAATGGGAGTACATTTTTACAGCCTAACAGTATCTTCAAACACTTGATCATAGCTATAAAATTGACAAAAGCATAAACACAGCGATAAACAATTCACAGCAGTGAAATGCCGGTTAGGCCTTATATACAAGCCTGGTCTCCTTGCAACACTGAATACATTGTACAAAAAGGAGATAGACTAACCTCTGCAAAAATAAAGCCACACAACCAATAGAACACTAGCCAAACATTGCACACAAGTTTTACTACATGTACATGTACCAACTCCCATGTAGGGGGTATTGTTCATTCTCTACCATTCTAATTTCTAGCAGTATAAAAAAGTACAAACATGAGACAAGTAATCTTTATATTCCTACTCACTTCCATGGCAACATCACTTTTCTCGAGCTCTCTTCTGTAATGTGAGACTATATTGTCAAGATTGGAGCGTGAAGTCAAATGCAGAAACAAGCAACAGAAATGCTTCAGTTCTTCCAACACTTGTGCTTTAGTGGCAGCAGCAGTTGCCTTCTGGGCTAGTATACTCTCTGGGCCTGAGGATAATTCTAGACTTTGTGAAGCCGAGTTTTGCATACTGTGCCATCCCTCAGAAGCAAGGTGCAAGTTGCTATTCCCGGTAAGCTAGTCAACACAAGCTTGCTTCTCTCATTCAGTCTTGATAGACAGTTACATGTACTTAATCTCACTTTCTCTTTGGATGGGTGGTTTGCCTGCAAGTGCAATGGGGGACAAATGCAAAAGGTGTAAAACCAAAAACTTTGCAACAAGTATGAATGTACAACACTACAACACCAGAGGCTGATTTTGTAATCAACAAGGAATGGCTTTCATTATTTTGATATCAAAGTGTTCTCAGAGTCCAAGGATCAAAATAATAATTGCTTAACATTTATAGCAAAACAAAAGGCTCCAAAACAGCTCCTATTTAAAAGTTAGATGTAAGCGACCATAAGGAATGATACATCATTTTTGTAGTAATTGTGGCTTTACAATTTGATACTAAAATGGTTTGATTTTAAAAAAGATTACAATTTGTAACTGTTGATTAAAACATAAGGCATATGTGTGTACAAACTATATCGAAAGGCTAAGAATCAATGAAGTCATGGTTTTCAAAAACCCATTCTAAATATAGTCACACATGAACAAACAAAACATAGCATAAGACGGCTCCGCCCCTGAGGCTTCGCCAAAAATCTAAGAAAGCCACCCTCCAGCAGGCACTGCCTGATTCCAGCAGCAATTTGTCCGTTATACATGTTCTCTTCACTACCTCTACTGCTTACCTCTACCCTAAACCAGCTTTAAACCATACACATTGGAGTGCCTCTGTGTACCTACCTGCTATATCGGTAAACATAAACTACAATGTACTTACAATGTACATGTTAAAAAGCCTAATACAGGTGAATGGATGCATGTACCACTTACTATAGGGCTTGATGTTCTTACATTTCATGGTGGCAAATGCCTGTTTTACTGGTGGCCTATGCTTAATTTACTAGATGCCCAGTACCAAAACAATGCAGCCAGGATAGGACCAGCATCATGTACATGTACATAGTAAAAAATCTGATGAAAATCTATTACAATACGCACCACTCTAAGCCTAAGAAAGGACACATCCTCTCATTAATTGTTGGAACTTCTTCACCCCTGCCAAGGTTTTTACACTTTTACAAGACCACCTATGTTGGGTCTTCCCTCCCAAGAACATATTTCAGACCACACCAAAAAAGCTCTACCTCTACCAATGGTGGCATGGGAAATTTCCAAAAGCATAATATGAAAAGTGGCTGCAATGGACAAACCTGGTCACACTTCCAAGCCAGTATATGGGAGAAATAAAACAGAAAATTCAAACAACCAAGGCATAACAAAACTAAGTTTGGTATTTTATGCTTGTCAGTGAGGACTGAGGAGTACCAAAATCATGCAACCATATGAGTGTAGTACCAACTGCATGCTATTTGAACATAACAAAACATAACAAAATGTCATAAATTCAATGTATATCAAAACTTAAAGGTGCTCAACACACACATAAAATGGATTGTACAAAATTTATGTACATTTTGTGCAAACAAAGGAAAACTCAAAAAGAAAACATGCAGGAAGTCACTCCTAAAGCCAACTGTCCATTCTAAACCTGCAAACAATTATACAATATCTCCAACAAAACCTGCCAACAAAAGCCGTGCCATGTGATCTTATTGAAGGCTATTGTACCATTGATAATGGAAAATACCCAGTACTTTCAAAAAAGATGGGAGTAAAGTATGATTGACACTTTCCAACAGCTCCTATCTTCACAAAGTGGACAGGGAGAATAAACAAAGACATATCTGTTTGAAGGGATGCTGTGAAGTCTCTTGGCAAGCAGACTGTTGCCAACAGTCAAATCCAACTGCAAGTCTGCAACTGATATTCCAAAAAAACATAATCCAAGGCTGCGGTTCTTTCCCCCAGCGGTGACACCAGAAGTGTCAGTTAGCCTGGTGCCTGGGAGACTGGGTTCTCTGGAGGCTGCCTACGATGCGGTCTCGAGGGAGGGTGTCTTGAGCAGGGGCGTCCCCCTTCTGTCACATGTTGTAGGCGACGTAGATGGGGTCCAGCTGGTCAGCCAGGAAGCCGTCCCGCAGGTGCATGCGCTGTTTCTCACCGCGGGAGTTGATCGGGATCACTCCTAAACATACAGGGTAGAATCTTCTGTCAATGAAAGATTATGATTGTTGCAGCTGCACATGTATAAAATGAGCCTTACATGAGCTACACATACAAAAAAATGAGCCTTTAAGCTTCTTACAGACATTCTTTAACTGAAAGGCTTCTACAACTATCACTTAAAAAAACAGGCTAAAACTAACTAAAACTTAAACTGAAACAGATGCCAACCTTACACTGTACAAAGTTTGCAAAACCAAAACCCAAGACAAAATCATGCTAAATAAGCCTTATGTTTTTATGCCCTTACTGTACTGTACTACTGTACACTACTTGTGTCCATGTAAATTTAAGCCAAGAAATGGCTAGAGGCCATGCTACAATGTAAGTTGGAGGTACTTTGCAGACAGGAGCCATGGGCCAGATCCTGGCCTGAACACTGGACACTGACCTGGATCCACCACCACGACCACCCCTACGATGAGGTAGTGTTCCTCCAGCACCACGTTGGTGACCAGCGGGATCAGGTCTAGGGCTTCATTCTCAGGACCCTCCAACTCTACCACTACCACCAGCAGGTTAGTCCAGGTGAACACAGCACTGGAAACAAAAATAACACACATGAATATCAATTTACAGCATTCAAACAAAGTTTCAGTTGTACAAAATGTTTGAAACATTTCACATTTTGAATCAAACAGTCCTTCTTTCTCAAAGTCCAAGAAATTTGCCACTCAACCTACCAAGTAACAGTTAAGAGGAGTAAACCTCTAGTATGATAAAAATCTGTAGTAGACAAGCATAGAAATGACACAAAATACCCTCTATAGTCAAAACAGAATAACGTAGGTATGGAAATGGTCATCTGGGTTGTTTTAAAATTTGAAGACATCCACGAAGAAAACTATCATTCAAAACTTCATAATACTAAGGCAAAGTACATGTATCACCATGAAAGAGATTGATAGTAAAGTCATACTCATAAAAATCCAATACCCCGGTAAACACAATATGCTATGACTGGTGTGATGTCATTATACATTACCATTCGCAGATGTTCTTGTGACATCTGAGCACGCTGTTCTCGATGTCGATGGGGTGATACCGCATCCCTCGTAACATCAGGGTCTCATCCAGCGAACCCACCACATACAGGGCATCATGGTACTCTGCAGGGGAAATAACAGGTTTGACACATTAAGCACATGTAAGTGTAAGATTTGGTATGAAAAAGCAACTATAATTGCGCTGCTGTCCTTGGTGCTGAATGGCATTCACATTGTACCATAATGTAACTATACAATCATACAAGGGTGAAAATCATACAGGCAAAAATCCCATCAAACTAGAGAAATTATGGTAAAAAAACATGGCAGGTACCATCTTTAAAAATAACTGTTAGTTGCTCATGAAGCCACAACCAGATACTTCAAACTACACCCAAACTCTTCCAAAAATATTCATTACAACAGTGACACCATAGTCCTAATCAGTAACAACTTAAGCAGAACTTCATGAAAAACTTGGCGAAACATTAAAAAGCCATGTGTAATTAGTGGATAGACAGGAAATGAATCTGCTATGTCCAGAGGGTTTGACCGTTGACTGACCTCCTGTATGGTTGGTGAGGTCAGTCTGTCTGAGGAAGCCCAGGTAGCCTGTCCTGCAGTAGACCGCTGTGGTGTCGCCGGTGGTCAGCGAGGCTGAGAAGTGGTCATTCTGTAAGGACTCGTCTCCGTAGATGGTGAAGTAGCCACTGGCACTGTGTGGACTGGACACCCAGATCTGTGGACAGTGGACAAGCACACTTAAATTCAGCATGTATTGAATGCAACTTATATATTTACCAACCTATGGTGTGTTCTCGGTCAAACTTGTCTGTAGTGACCTTTCAAGGGACTTGGAAAACAAAAACAGTCACAGTAGACAAAAGGCCACTGTAGACAGGACAGGATTTTTAATTTTTGGGTCAATGGAGAAAAGTACCTAAGAGACCACCCAAAAGTGGCCACAATGGCTACATACAAATAGGTTTTAAATTCATTGTATATTTTACATGCTTGTCTTTATGGTTAGAAGATCAATGGCTGTACATACCTCTCCCAGATGGGAGTCCCCACACTGCCCCTTTGTCTCAGGGTTGGCTATCACCACCTTCACTCCTGGCAGGATCTGAGGAGACAGAACATACAATGTACATTGTATGATTACTCTGGACTTTAACACAATCTAATACTCTCCACAGAAAAAGGAGTAAAATAGTAATTAAAGAGACTCGGATAAGGGTTTGCAGTTTACAAGGAAATGTACAGGCTATCCATGTTGCTTTATGTTGAACTTGTGAGTTTCTTACCTTCCCAGACTCCATGAGACAGAGACTGTGAGGACTTCCCTTCTCCACCAGCGTAACTCTGTCATTCCGCAGGGCTCGCATGTCCACAAACACAGACGTGGGGTCAGGACCTGATGTTCCCTGTACATTTGTACATACACAACATTTGGTTTCAGTTATCAGAGTCTAACAGAAAGAAAATACTTTCAAACCCGTACATACAAACCCACCCTGTGCGCCACCCAAAAAACAATACTTCTGTCTGAGAATTGACTAAATAAAAAAACTGAATAGTAAGTTACCTGACAGCAAACAGCAACATTGACCCTACAGCCGAACGTAGTACTGACAGCACGAGGGGACAGCCCAACGTCCTTAAACAGCTTGGAGAAGGAGTTACACAGGTTTATTCTGGGTCTCTCCTCAGCAACTACCACACAGGTCCTCACTCCGGATAGGTTCACTCCCTTAGCCTGGGAAAGAAAAATAAAAACATGTTAGAAGACCATAGTTCTCTGGAAGATAATGTTCGCAATGTAAAACTATTATTAACCAATTTCTAGAGAAAACACAATCACAATTCTGAGAGCAAGCACTGGATTATGTTCATATCTGTACCTACCTACTATCAACCAACATTAGTAACTACAGCAAAAAGCACCAGCTTTACAGGCACACTATGCACCTGGTTATGGACTGTTTGAAGTAACCAGTGACAATTTGTAGCTCAAGAACACGTCATTACTTACCCTCAGAGTTCCAGTCGACCCTCCCAGTCCCTTGGTGCTGATCTCAATGACTCCGTACGAGCAGAACACATCTCGCACTGAAAACAACAAATACTTTCATGTTTAGTCCAGATACTTTTAGAAACAGGTTTGCTTACACAACAATACAACAACAAAACAGGTAAAACTAATGACTTAACAATGCAGTGTGGTCACTCAATATTTGGAAACTACTAGTATTACTCCATTTTGCTGGCGAACTACATGAGTGTTACCTTTATTCTGACTGACAGCCATGAGCCACAGTGAGGGGTTGGCCTCTACATCAGCAGGGGGGATCAGGATGGTGTGGTGACCTGCATACACCCTGGGGGCAAAGGACAATGGTCAAAATGAATCCACATGACCATGTAGAAGTGCAAACTCAAGTAACTGATTTGTCTCAAGGTAGCCCTACATGGAACAGATTCATAGAAAACAGTACCATCATCATCAGTACTGTTGGTGTACATTTGTACCTAACATACAAACAGTTTACATAGTCCAACATAGAATGAAAGACTATCTTACCCCACTAAGCACCAGAGCACGAAGCCCAGCCCACAGAAGGGGTCGAGACAGAGGGCGATGGTTCTGGACGGGTACAGCTCAGCCTGCAGCTTCAGCGAGCGTGACAGGTTACTGGCCGCTGAGTGAGACATCTGAGGAAAAATACAACAAACTCATCTTAAAGGTATCCAATGCAATTTCAGGGCAGCAAAACATTCTTAGCACATTTTCATGTCATCATTTCATACTTGAAGTGTTTGCAATAGCCCAAAAAATGTGAGGTGTCTATTCATTTTTTGGGCCGCTCATAAATAGCTAGGACCAGCCTATGATACAAACACGCAACCATTTTCTGTCAGCGACATCACATTTTACTTCACATATATATGTGTCAGTTTGCAATGGGATAGGGTTGGTGTTCAGGAAGCCTGCATCTTGATATAAATATACTTACGTTATCAATTAACTAGCTAGTTGATATTGATAACTCACCTTGATACCAGCCAGCATGCCTGTTGTAGACACACTGAAGTCCAGGTAAGCTAACATCTCTGGTGTTGGGGCACGGTAGATACTGGACAGCTTTTTTCTGGGCGTGTCGTCACAGTCTAACAACACAGGCCACGTCTTCACATCTATTGCACTAGCTGCCTCCTGGGATGAAAGACACAATATATGAAATTAGATTCTTTGAATCTCATTGAATAAAAAAAAAGTTGCTCCAACTTTCCTGCATTCTTAGATAAGAATTCATCGGTAAAGATCTCAATTGGAGAGCAAATTTTAAGATGTTTGCTGGAAAGACAGTTAGAACTTTTCAACTTTGATTCATGTTACTTTACAGTAGATCAATGGATTGACTTGAAATTTAGAATTTGTAAAGGGGAGACTACCCTAACACATCTCATTTTCTTCATATACAAAGGATGTACATGTAGTTGTTGTTCACTCATGCAGTCTTTACTTAGAGGTATCAGTCCTTACTTTAGACTTGAGTAGTTTCAGCATAGTTCCCATGGTGAGGACTGCCACAGACTTGCTGACATCCACTATCATCTTAACAGTGGGGAGGGTGGTCGCAATGTTCTGGTGGTGGGGAGGGCGCACGGGGACTGGAACAGCACCTGAACAGTAAAACCACAGGTTGAGTTAAATAGCTTGTGTATATGTGCGTTGTGCATGTGTATGTATTGGTGACAGTAATAAAAAATTTCCTGCAAGTAAACGTGTGCTAATACACAATGTATACTACTGTACTACAATATACAAAGTATACTACTCTACATGAACTGTATCACATATCTGAAAGTGAGTGAAATCATATCCATGTATGTGATAGAGCTTTCTTAAGGTATTTGATGTTGTCATTACAAAATGTTCTAGGCCATAAATATCCCAACAGCACTCAGATAAAAGGAAATTATGTGTACTTACCAACGTAAAAGCAGCCATACACAGCTGCAATAAGGTCAATACCTGTAGAATAAAATAAACTTCATGTTTAGTTTGCTTTTATCACTTGAGAGAAACGGGGAGGGGGGAGGGGTAATAAATGTGTGGAGGTGATTTAGATGAACTACAAAGGCCACATTTCTAAGCAAGTACAGCATATTCCCCCCACCTCCCTACGTTAGGTAAAACAATACATTTCATTGTGGTATAGAGGGAAACATAATGACACCCAAGTTTGCCATCCAGTACTGACCAGGAATACAGAAACCCTAACCCTAACGCATAGCCAAGAGGGATGGAGACAGATGGTCAGACACTCCACTATGCAGTGCCCCCATGACCCTGGCCTGGGTTAAGGGACCAAGGTACTGACCAGGAGTGAAGATGAGAGCCACGTGGTCGCCTGTGTTGATCTTCCCCTTCTCCAGCAGTAGACAGCCGATCCTCTCTGCACGTTTATGCAGCTGCATACAGGACACTGCACCTGCACCTCCGCCCTGAAACACAAACAAACAACTATGTCACAAACTGTGGGTTCCACCACCTGCTACAGCTTAGTAGAACCACCTTATTTTGTGTCATGCAACATCAGCTTCACATGCAGACAGAAACAAATTTTGTGGCCAAGGCTTGGAACCAATGTAATCCTGTCAATAGCTATACACCGACACGTTCATGGAAAAAGGCATTCTAGACGAACACTATAATGTGAGCATGATATGTACAACTTTGTACTTATATTTCTAACTTAAGAATTGTATTCAAGAGCAAAAATTCCTATAACAAACCGGTGAAGTAAAATGTACTAGTACGAGACTGGTACAGCATATAATGTTATATTGAGAGACAGTATATTATACAAAACATATTTACACACAAGAGTAACACTTCAGACCACTGACAAACATGTACATGTACTACACGTTTGTCTACTCTACGGCAAACACACGTACAGGTTACGTCTCAACAAACAGGTATAAGCTGGAAGAGGGGTCTGAGTGAGTGAATGAGAGAATGAAATGTGGAGGTGTATCAGTAGAACCATGCAGCAGCAGCCTCCTGCATTCCTTGTCATACATGGAGCCATTCCTTCAATGGATAGTCTGGGTCTGAACAACGCAAACACAGTGTACAACCTGACACTTTTTTTGTAGCATGTGTAGTCCAGTGGTCAGCGACCCTGTTTCTGGACCAAGAGGTTGTGAGTTTGAATCCCAGCTGATGCCGCTCACACGAATGCATGCTACTGGAAAGGGTTGCAGTCCGTAGGACAAGACTATTCATAATGTGCTTGTCGAAAACAACTCTGGAAATTTGCCCTGTTCAAAGATCTTGTAAATACTGTATATAGCATCTTCTATGGCGAGACCAGTGGAAGAATAGCTCTTCAGTAAGCTAAAACTGGATTGAGATTATTTTCCTATTTTTCTGTTTTGACAATGGAGTATTCAGTAGTACGATCAGTACTATTGAATGATAACACAGGTTGTATTTAGGTTTTGTTTGTGAACTATAAGACCCAGACTACAGAGAAAGCCAGGCATGATCTCAGTCTACACAGCATTCACTACTTCTGCAGGCAGGCGGGACTACATCTGTTGAGAATGCACACTGGTTTAGTAAAGCACATTCTACCTTCACTGGAACAAATGGCAAGAACACAGATTCCTTCAGTTTTAAACAAGTTATAGTTCAGATGATTTCAAATAGTACTGTAGAATCACTTTGCAGGGACTTAATTTTGTGGTATAAGGGGGAAGAAGTTTTTATGCAGTGTTTAAGGTTCGCAGTTGAAGCAATTCTGCAGTAAAATATCAATAGTTTGTGGCAAGAGGTCGCAGTAAAAAGATATACAGTAGGAATATCACTAATTATAGTAGTCTGCCAATTAGCAGCACAACCAATGACAGCCTGGCAATTAACGGTTTAACCAATGAGAGAGTGGCTGCATGTCTGTAAAATATTTGGCATGTCTATGTTTTGACAAAGGTGCGTGGGGCCATAGGATCGTTCTATTCTCTGCCATTTGTTCGTGGAAGGTTCTACCAGAGATCTACATGAGAGCACACAGTGGGTTTGTGACAAGGAGTACCCCAGAGCCAGTCCTCAGGAGCCGTGAAATGCTGCCACTCCGCACACGGTATGCCGTGGTCTGTGGAACATGAAAAGTGGATCTTGAAACACCCCTGTGCTTTGAGTGGTGCAGTCCTGCTGTGGCTCAGGAAACTGCCTAGTGATGGACTGATCCATTCCATTAGGGGTATGTTTTTGTTAAACTTAACTGCACCATGTGAAACATACCCTCGTGTATGTTTTATATCAATCTTGAGTGTGTCAAATGTTTTGACAAGTTCATGCTTTTCTTATTTCATTTGTTGTCGGATAAGGATAACCATAAACATAAAAATGACAGTAAAATGCCCTTACACAGCACCTAAGTGAGCCATACATGTAAGTACATGTACACTAAATCTTGCTCAGGTAACTTTTCAAATTTTCCCATGTTGAAGGTTATTCAAGAGAATCTATTGATATTGTTTTGATTGTTTCTAAACAAAAACGTTTGCCAGATTACAACTTATACAATAATTCTGGACATACATGTACGTGCATCTTTTATTTTTCCCTAGGTAAATAATATGCAAGATCAGGAAACATGGATAGCCTAACTAGCTCAGAGAGGTTAATTTACAAAAATCTATGCAGGTACACAATCCCTATAGTGCTGCTTGAAAGTTTTTCACAGCTCTATGCAAAAAGACTCAACTATGAATACCTGCATGTACATAAAATGTCCTACATGTACTTTGCTACAACTATACAAAGTCTATTGGGCCAGGAAGATGATAGAAAGGGTCTTACATTCATAATAATGACATACAAGCACACTTGAAAGTCACCTTTGCATTGAGTTGTGAGAACAGAACCTCCTCCGGGGTGGTGGCTGCTCTCCACTGGAGGATTTCTGACAGGAACTGATGCTAAATAAGGAAAAAAAAACACAACAAAAACTGTGAACAGGAGAAAACTAACTGGCTACTTGTACACTGTAGGAAATGTGGAGTTGACACAGCTTGGAGAAATTGCTGGGGACGAATGACACTGTAGGAATTGTTAACCTTCTCCCTGCTACAAGTAATTTTTTGTTGTCAAACAATAATGGGCAGCAGGGAGAGGGTTATGTTGATTGAAATCTGCTTGACAGGTCAGTTAGTTAGTATAGTAGCTGTGTGTGAGAACTCAAGGTATTTGATAGTGAGTTAAGCAGTTAAGCAATATGTACATGTAACACAGTGTAGAAACAGAGAAAGCTGTGTTTTCATGTGCACAGCATAAGGAAAGAATAAAGAAGGAATCAGAGGAATTGTGACTTTACAAATGAATATTATTCGAAGAAGAGACAAAACAAAATGATTTCAAACACAAGGAATGAATGAATCATTTACTTATCATACAATGTAGTTGTAAGGAAAATGGTGGAAGGCAAATTAATGCTTGACAAATCAAATCTGAGACTTCTGTCATTGCTAGAAGGGTACAAGATTGAAGTATCTGAAGTATGTCATATTGAATTTGTGTAATATAAAAGGAAAAGGAGCAGATTGCACAAATACAGATCAGAACAAAGTAAAATGGTCAATCAGTAGATGACAATAAAATTCGTACTGTATCATGAAGCAATACACACAAAATTCAAACATGTAGCAAATGTGCATGTCGCTAAGGCTTGATAGGGAAGGCATGTAAAGGCAAGAACTATGTCAAAATGAACACCCAGTTGATTTTTTAATTTTCAACAGTCTTTGATTTTCAGGTTTGCGATTGGTTGAGAAGTCTTGCGAGCCAGTACCGTATTCTCTCCAGTGAAGTGCATGCACGAGTGTGTGACGTAGCAAACGGCAACAAAACAGTGCTACACTCTACCAACCACAACCACCAGTTTATAATCATATAAACACAAATAAAAGGTGCAGGAAAGATTGTAGGAATGTTGGGATCATGCTGTACATTCAGTTTACAGTTATGTACGTCTCCGTCAAAAATGTTGAACGTCTTTAACTCAATAGTTTGTGTACGAGTGTTTGGATGCGTGGTTGTAGTGAAAAGTAGTAAAATAAGAACACTTATTTATTTGGATATACATTATCAAGAATTACTACTTTTTCAAAATTCAGTCTTAAAACGTCATTCCAAGAATCAGTTACACAAATGTTTCAACGACTGTTACAACATGCCTTTAAGAATGGTAAAAGTAGCCAATGTTGGTCGACCAATCAAATCAAATGTAAGCAAAAGCAGGTGTTACATGTACATGTACATGAGAATGTACTTTATGTAACATGCCATGTGATTGGTTCATGTTAGGAAAACTTTGCAAACAACACGCAAGCCTATCGTTGTTTACTCGTCATTTCTGATGCAAAAGTTTAGAAAAAATCAACATGAAGTTTGCTTGTTTTGGTATGAAGAAAGGCACTGAGGTGTTATAATAATAATGTAAAGTGCACTGTGTCAGGATAAGTACATGCTTTGTGCAGGGGTGCTTCCCTTCAGGTAGAGAGAATACAGTACAAGCTGCCGTATGGTTTTCTAGGTTCGAAAAGCGCCTCACGGTTTTTCCTGTTGCCTCGATGGGATCGCTCGGGATGTGCTGTTTGCCGCTCAACCGCAGGGAGGAGAAACCCTGGAATTCAAGGAAACGTTCCCAGCAAAAACAAAACAAACAAAAAAGTTAATAATCAGAGCAGTATACCAAAACAAGGAAGAGAGGTCTTCCAGAGGTATAGCTTTTGGAAAGAGATTGAAGAAGAAGTTTTAAAAGAAGAAACTGGGATTCAGAAGTTCAGAGTTCCAGAGTTGCACCAAGGTGGGAAAGTCTATGGGAATGTACGTCATGTAATTAACATTAAGTGTGAACAAAATAACTGGTAAAATGTAAGGCAGTGCAGTTCAAAGTAACAAGCAAGCATACAGTCAGCACACAATGTGGTTACTAAGGTACATTTTGTATGAAACTGGTAAATGCAAACCAAGTGCTGGTCTTGGAGAAATTGTATGAAAGAAATGTATATAACAGTCAAAAGGTGGCTCCAGAAAGGAAACCAGCTATCAATGGTAGTGGGGGGCAGTTTATATCAAGTAATTGTTGGATGATCATGTCTGTCTATCAGTGAAATGTAAAATGTGAGGACACCATAATAAGTTAACACTGGAGTACAAAATGTACAACATATTAAAGGCTTCGGGAAGAACAAGACTTGTAAATTTTAAACTTGGCATCTAACATTAAAATTCCATTCCAAAACAAAATTTATTGTGATTATATTGGAAGTTGGAAAAACATGTGCCACACGTTTTGAGTGTTGAAGCAATCCTGCAGTTATGAGGGATCCAGAAAGAGGGAGCTAATCCACTGCAGCTGTACCAACCTTTCTATACTGCTCATCGTCCCCGTCCAGAGTTCCGATGTCCCTGCCCTGCGCGCCCGCGATGCGCCGGCCCTGCACCAAGTTGCCCACCATGACGGACGATGGACCAACTTCTGGAGGGAAGTTTGTTGGCAGAAAACACACACAGAAAACACCATTAAACTGTCTACATGTACAGAAAAACTCGCTGGCATGATCTTCCCTTATAAACAATACTGGTCAAGTGCTCCTGAAGAAACTGGACGGCCTACATTAAATAGCTGTTGTGGAAATGTTCTGGGTTAGTGGGTAAGGCCTAAGGGGAATGTTGTAGGATATAAGATTTTACATAATACATGATTGTGTACAATAACATAGAAATTGAAATTTTTCCATATAACTCATGTGTAATTAGTTTAAAATAATGGACTGCACACAATCCACTCATCTTGCTTTAAGGAAGAGCAACATGTAGTTACATCATGTATTTTTAAACAGTATGTCTTTACATTATCTGAAGGACACATACATGTGCAGACAAATACAGGTTTCGTGCATCATACACAACTTCCCATGAAGAAGCAAACACATAAGCAAAATACCTGGATGTTTCTGTCTTGGCTTTGGAAGATTTGTAACACACCTGTTGGAATGAAAAAAAAAGAATTTAGGCAAAAAAACAATGACACCTGCTGTGAAGGAGTACATCCTAAGGAAATACTTCTACAAGACAGTATTATTTTTTTAATTTTTAATCACCTAGAAGAGCACTTTACATCTTTTATTTTTATCCTAAAGCACTGGATGGATCAATACTTACGTATGTGGACACATCAGTACATTACAGGGGTGCAGACTGCCCTCCATAAACCTCTGCTTGGTCTCCCACAGGTGGATACCACCCAACGGGGTCTGCAAACATGGGCAATATGATGTAAATGTAGAATACAAGTGGTGCAATACTGTCGATGAATGCTGGGTGGAGCTCCTGCACTAGTCAAAGCTGTGTAACATGTACCAGCATTTGTTTACCAGTGATAAGACAATGT